AGCCCAAGGATGAACCACTTTTGGTTAAGGGTTGATAGGCAAACTAGAAGTGTATCTCTACTTGTATGCACAAAAGGGCAAGAGAGAGAGACAATTGTAGAGAGAGAGGCTCCAAAAATTTTCCAACCTTCAAAACAATAGAGAAGGCCCTCTATATATAGAAATACAAGAGCCTTGGTCAAAAATATATGAATTATAGACAGTTGGAGCAGTGTGATACAACTGGAGAAAAATATTTGCAAAATCTGAGTTTTCTGGACACTGGTGGCCGACAAGGATCACTCCTGGCCGACCTATGGCTGGCAAACTCCATTTGTGGCTAACACATGGCCGGCAAGCTTCATTATGGCTGGAAAGCAAAAACTGGTTCCTGGCCCTGACTTCAAGTAGGCATATTTCCTTCATCTAGACTCCTTTACAGGTCATTCTGGAGCATAAATTGAAGCCCTAGAAGTCTTCTTTCCAATGGTGGAAGCCTCACATCAAAATTCCAACTGTGAAAGAAGTTATCCTCATTTTAGTGAAGACTGCTCAGTTTCGGTCCTAATCGGATTGATGCTCAACTTCAACCAACCATATCTCCCTCATCTGGCCTCGGCTTGAGGAGATTCTTGAGTGTGAAATGAAGCTCCAGAAGTCCACTTTCCAATGGTGGTGGCTTCATAGCTGAAATCCAAGTGTACAAAAGGATAGGCTTGATTTAGCGAGAGCTGCTCGACTCTCTTAATGGTTCATACCCATCTTCTACCCTAACTTAGTTTCTTTCCTCTCCTCCAATTTTCTTCAACTCCAAACCTCTAAACAAGATGTTTTAAAGATTTTTTTCCAAAGAGTTCACCTCTTTTTCATTCATTTCCACTTTGTCCTTGCTCGGTTTACGGAAAAGCACAACATTTAACGAAATGCGAGCCTCAGAACATCGTAGAAATTTTTTTCAAAAATGTTTTGAAAGAGAGGGTTTTAAGGTCTAAAATCATTTTGGTCAAAATCGTTTTGGTCCAAAAATGGGGTGTGAGGTTGGGATTTGACGCTCTCCTTACCGAAGAATCGAACCTTTGCAACAAGATAGCCTGCACCATCGAGTAAGCAATCAGTGACGCCCAAGTCTTAAGTGCGGTAAAAAATGGGGTGTCTACAGTTGGTTTGTTTTTTTAAGGTTCATTACAAGACCTGAACACCCTGTTTGGAACCAATTCGTTTAATTGAGCACTGAAATATTTTATTAATACAAAGAAAATGTAATGTATATTTTTAGAAAATAAAATAACAATACTTACTAGATTTATTTAATGTTTTCATAAATATTTTTTTCACAATGTTTACCAAAAAAATAAATAATTAATTAATTAATTAATAATATATTCAAATTAACTTAGTATTTTTTTATGCACACATCTCAATTTCACAAATAATTTTTTTGATTTTATCCTTAGTGATAAGACCCACGCGCGAAACTATTATAAAAGAGGCAAAACTCTATCCGTTGAGTCTTAGCACTTAAATTACACAAATACCTCCAAGTTTACTCTCAATTTCCCAATTGCCTTTGAATAATTTTGTATTGCAATTCACCCAGGTGGTGGCCATTGATATCTGTCTTCACATGGTTGCTCCAGGTGTTTGAAGACAAACACGACAGTGCTCCAACACCTGCTCTAGCTGCCACGCTTTCTTTCTCCATCATTGATAGCCGCGGTGATGAATGGACCACCCATCTCTTACTGAAAAAATCTTTGCAATTTCACCCGGTTTCTCCTTATCGCGGTAACCACCACCATCATCACACAATTCCATCACAAACTTCCATTTCTCTATCTCTATTTATTTCTGAAATGGGGTTTTATGATTGGATTGGTTTTCTTATATTGGTTCTCAAATCATTTGATTTATGATTCATCTCTTCTATAATTGAAATGGTTTTTGTCTATTGAATCATCTATTTCTTGAAGTTTCTTTACATAATTGGACTTTCTGTTGTTCGAATGCCATGTTTTCGTTTTAGGTTTTAATTCTTTTTACCATATATATGTCCATATTTGTCAATGATGTTTGCATGAAGGATTTGGAGAGGGATTTGAAGGATTCATGTTTTTTATTTTCTGTTTTATGTGTGTTATATTATTCATCGTAATCAAATCTTATATCGCCCTTACTAACTTGAAAAAATTATTGGTATTTGTTGGTTGGATGGATTTATTTGTCATTCTTTTTTCAATAACCAGGAAAATTTTGGGCTATTCTGGCATCAATACCATTGCCAATCTTTAGAGCTCTGTATTGCCTCTTGTTTGCCTACATGCATATGTTTCCTTCCTCTTGTTTGGTGAATAAGTGACAATTTAAATTTAAAAACTTACAGGAACCAGAAAAAACAAATGTTTAAATAATCCAGTGCTACAATCTATTTATGTCATGAACTAATGGACCTTCTTATTTCACTCTATTCCTCATTGGTTTATTTGTTATAACTCGAATATTTTTTTTGATCAACAAACAAAGACTTTATTGATGAAAAAGGCACAATACATGAAACAACATCAACAACGCAGGGAAATGCAAAAAACATCATAGCTAACCTCTACAATCACAACTAGGTTGGCACCACAGAGGAAGCACAATCATATGTTAGCACTTCACCCAAGATTGGTGAGAAACCAATCAAAAGCACACAAAAAAAGAAAAGAAAAAAAAAGAAAAAAAAGGCATAACAGTAATACACCCAGCAGAACAAGACTATAGCAGCAACATAAGCATAACAGCAGCACCAACTGATTCCTCTGAGGTGAAATTGTGAAGGAGCCACAACATTAGCAAAACAGTGCATGAGCAGAAGCACACCTCATCAAACTCCTCTACCTATAAACAACATCTCACCTGATTCAGATTCGCCACAACATCATGCACTGTATAATGAATCTTTGGCAACCCAGACTTGGCCCACAGCCCAACCCTTACTTTCACAATTTCACCAAGCTCATCCATATTAGGTTGGCTCCCTTTAAAGACAAAATCATTTCTTAACCTTCATAGTGACCACAACATTGCAATTGGAACAAGCCTCCAAATCCTCATAACTGACTTCTTAAATTTTGTTCCCAGCCATCATAACAGCACACCATCAACTGTAACAGGAATGACCCAATATACTCCCCACCATTGCAGCATAGATGACCAAACCTTCCAAATCTCCAAGCACTGCAATAGAATATGATCCACTGACTCTGTTTCTAGCTTGCAGAAAGGACACAAATTTTCCACATTGCTACTTAAGGCCCCAAACCCATGTAAAAGACTAATTGTTTTAACGTTCCCCCTCCATGCCAACCAGCTCAAGAACTGAGCTTTTGGTGGAGCCACACCTCTCCATATCAGTTTAGGAACCTGCAATTTTGGGCCTAGAACCAACTCATACCATTTACTCATAGATGCCATAGTGAACTGACCTGTAGGAGATGCAGTCCACCTGACTGAGTTTGGCAACTCCTCATTAAGTATGGAAGCATCTCTAGTTAAGAATTGCAACCTTTGAACCTCCTCTTCCTCCCAAGCAAAAAGTGGTCTTGTAAACAATAACCTCTAATTTCTTGAGTTATCCCTCCTCTGCATGAAAAAGCTCAAATTCTCCTATTTTTCTAGAGATAGTCTAAACAACCTTGGGAACTCCACCTTTAATTGTACATTCAACAACCACTTATCATGTCAAAAGTCAATCCTACACCCATTTCCAATCACAAGCTTGCAATTAGACTTAAAAAAATCAAATAGCTCAGCATTAGTCCTTGACACATTCAGAATATCCCTCCAAACATTAGATTCATTACCAGGCCCTTCCATCGCTGGTAACCTTCTTCCATCAACTGCCTCATACTTGCTCATGATTACTTTTTTCCACAAAGATTCGTCTTTCACCCCATATCTCCACCACTTAGTTAACATGAAATCATTAATGTCCCTCACCCTTCTTATGCCTAACCCTCCTTGCTCTTTGCTCAGTGTTACTTTCTTCCAATTTACCAAATGAATCTTCCTTCGGATTTCTGAACTACCCCATAAAAATGTACCCTCAACTTATCAATTTCCTTAGCTACTCCTTTAGGTAATTTGAAGAGAGAAATATAGTAACTAGGAGACTATCAAGGACAGATTTTATCAAAGTTAGCCGACCAGCAAATGACAGCATCCTTCTCTTTCATAAGGCTAATTTAGCTTTTACCTTTTCCACCACAGGCTGCCAAGTATTCTTTCTTCTTGGATTAGCGCCTAGAGGTAGGCCCAAGTACGTAAGAGGCAACTTCTTACTTAAACAGTATAGTTTAGAGGCAAAAACTTGTGCAATTTCATCACTAATCCCAACTCCGCACACCACACTTTTGTGGAAGTTTATTTTAAGGCCTGAAATAATCTCAAAGTATCTAAGAATCCTCTTGACATTTACAATCTCCTCCCACTCTGCATCGCAAAAAAGAATAGTGTCATCGGCAAACTGGAGATAAGAAAGTTTCAAACTTGCTGACCCAAAAGTAGCTCCCTTTATTAAGCCCAAATCTTTAGCCCTTTCCAACAATACATTGAGGCCCTCAGCTGCAATATTGAACAAAAAGGAGGATAGAGGGTCACCTTGCCTTAACTCCTTATGTGGACTGAACTCTTCAGTTGGTGAACCATTAACTAGTATTGAAATTCTTGCCATGGTGACACAAGTTCTCATCCAACCCAGCCACCTCTCTCCAAGCCCAAGATTGGCCATCATAGAAAATAAATAATCCTAGTTGACCGAATCATATGCTTTTTGAAAATCAAGTTTGAGGATGACACCTTTCACTTTAGACTTCTTCCACCAATCCACCACCTCATTAGCAATTAAGACCCCATCAAAAATATTCCTCCCCCCCAAAAAAGCAGTCTGCACTTCACCAATCACATCTAGTAGCACCCTTTTCAATCTTTTTTAGAGTACCTTAGCCAAGATTTTATACACTACACCCACCAAACTTATTGGCCTATAATGTATCACTAGTCTTCTTTGGAGCAAGGGTAATAAAAGAGCTATTTAACCCTATAACTAGCTTACTATTATTGTAAAACTCCTGCATAGACTGAAAGATATCACTTTTCATAACATTCCAACATTTCTGGATGCACGTCATGTTGAAACCATCTGGTCTTGGCGCTTTATTCCCATTACAGTCTTTTACAGCCTCCCAAACTTCTTCCATAGTGAACTCAGGTTCAAGAAACTCCACCACCTTAGCATTATTAATTGGCGCAAAACTACTAGACAATTTTGGTCAAGAAGGCCAACCCTCCGAAAATGCCTTTGTAAAATGCCTCAGCACTTCTTGTTTTACCAACTCTGGATCTTCAACGCGAACCCTATCAACTGCCACTGAGTCCACTAAGTTCCTTCTTTTCCTTTGGCTAGCCATTATATGAAAAAACTTGGTGTTCCTATCACCATTTTGAGCCCAATTTACTCTAGATTTTTGGAACCAAATCCAGTCCAGTTTCTTTCTATATGACCACACCAAGTTTTTGACCTCCCTTCTTTTTACAACTTCATGAGGTTCTAATGACCTTATTTCTGCCAATAAATCAAGCTCATGCAACTCAACTTCAGCCTGTTTAAGTTGATCCTCCACACAACCAAACACTTCAGAATTCCATTTTTTCAACTCAGCTTTGAAACTACACAATTTCATCTTAACTCTGTACCCAGCCCACCCTTGCACCTGCGAATCCAACCAGGACTTTTGCATAACTAACAAGAAACTAGGATGCAAGGTCCAAGCATTCAGAAACTTGAATGGCCTAGGACCCCAGTTTCTCTTATCTTCCATTAGCAACAGAAGACAGTGGTCAGAAGATTGGGGTATTAGAGATTGGGGTAATCCATTGTTGGTGGATTAATAGAGTTTCTCTATGCTAATTTCAAATTCAAATAATTTATTTAAATTGATCTACAACTTGACAACTATGCATTCTAAATTTTATTTCGAAGGTTAAATAAATGCTTTAAATTTACTCTTTGCCAAGCTCTTGTATTTGCCACATATTTGTCAATTATGATTTATTATTATTTCTAATGCTTTTTAATCCATTACAGCACTCTTTGTGGATCCCACCTTCTACATATTTCATATGTCTACTTGAGGAAAAGCACAAAAATGAAGACATTGAAGGATCACTTTTTAAAGAACCTTCTCATGGAGCTCTATTTTGCACTTGGGAAACATTTAAGAGCTATATAGATTCAAAATGATACGTATTAACCATTTTAATGTTCTTTTATATATTTGTCAATCATTGTTGTATCTCAAAATTCTCTTCTTAATGCATTCTTCGCAAAATTCTATTTTATATATTTTTAGTTCTGGGTATTATTAGTTTCTTCCGCCAATTTAGTCCATCCTTTTATTCCACCTTCCTATTGGTTATAAGGCCCACTTCAAACAGGTTATTGTTAGTTACTTAAATTACTCTTATTTGTTGTCATAACTGAATCTTAATGATATTAACTTAGAAGATATGATGATCTAGAGGATAACTGAACTTATACATTAAAAATTTGTTTTCTGTCACTTTGTTTTCTATGGATCCAAACTTATACATTAGAAAGCTTCTCTATTTTGACAGGGCTGTTTAAATTTTTTTTGTAACTATTTGTGATGTGATTTTGCTAATTTCAACTTTGAAGTGGGCTTACTTCTACAATTGTTGCTGATGCTTGTTATGCCGGAGTAAGCGTCTTACTCCTGTGTAACAAGTACATACTTTGCTAGTAATCAGTCTCTTACTCCTTAAGCACATGCTCTTAAAAACAGTTGATGCAATTTTTAAGTTATGCACAAGAGAAGCTTAAACAAGATGTAGAAACATGAATCATTAGTAAAGAACGATTAGAACTTTCATATGAAGTTACCAATGAAGACGACACAACTATAAATAGTTGAAATTTTTAGCTGTTAAAATATGCATTTTATAAGACTCTTGTTCGTAATTATGTTCATATTTTTGTATCCACAGGCACATAGATTATTGAAGTAAGTAGAATTTCCAAGTTGCTTTCTTCAGCACAAGAAAGAATGTGCCAAATTCAATTCAAGTAGAAAAATTCTCTTTTTTCCGTCACTCTATATGTTTTCCAAATTTTCATATAAGAATTTGGGGAGTTGTAACGTCCCGAAATAATAACGATAACCCATACCATGATATCCAATAGAAAATCTAAACATGCGAAATATTAACCTTTCATTGATATCTCTTTTTCCTTACAAAAGATGACATATGTGTGTATACATTCATAAATCCTAGGTTCTAAATCTATAGCATATGAGATGTGTACATGAACAGAACCAAAAAGGAGATACAGATAAGCTCATGCCCCAATGGCTACATCTTTTTAAGTCAATACTTGGGTACAACAAAAGTGAGATTAGCTAAATACAATTAAAACTCATGACTTGTACAAAAATAATTACGTCAAAGAAAACAAAAGAAGCTTTTGGCTCCAAGTCCTCCAAAGTTATGTCCTTGGTGGAGGTATATCATCAGCACTTGAAAGTTGTTTTTCACATAGGGTGAGTTAAAGCCCAGTATAAATACTTTAACACAATTTATGAAACTTAACAAAGTTATAAAGTGAATACACATGCATGCCATTTGCCAAATGTTTTTCTTTTCCATCTCAAAACAATGCAATGTCAGGATTATATATCAATTCATGAAAATATCCTTTTCTATCAGAAAACAAGGCAATGGATACCAAACACTGGGGATCTCTAGGTACGTGTCTGCCAGTAGGCTAAACAAGCACTACCAAAAGCCATTTTACCGGTACTAACCAGAAGGATCGACACCTAACCGCGCGGGTTTTTAGACTTTCACCAAGGACACATAGGCTAACAATATAAACCATAACCACACCCTCTAACCAGATTCACCAAGGTATACACCTTTTTTTTTTCTTTTTTTCTTTTTTGTCTCTCTAAAAAACAATACATTTTCAATGTTCAAGTATGAAACAATACTCGATGCACAATGTATGAGAAGTTAGTTTCAATTTAACATAATCCTCATGTAATTTCTACAATAATCAAGACTATCCTCTACCAATAGCCCAAAACAGATATTTCTACTTAACAGATAATTTTCCAATAATAGATAAGATCTCATAAATTTTAAAATGGGAGTGAAAACAAATATCCAACTCCACTCTTATCATCAACTAATACATCCCCCATATCTTTCAAAATCCAGCATCCTTTTCTTTTCTTTTATAAATCAAACATCAATGCTTTCTCAACAAAACCCCTTTATTTTCAAAATCACATTTTAGAAATGAATTTCCAAACCAACCAAACAATATACACATTTCCACAACCCATCTCAAGCCTTTATTTGAAAAACTCCTCTTTTATATTTCACAATCAAACCCTAGATTTAATCCAAAAATTTCTAAATCACTAAACCTTTTCAAAAAGAAAATAACTAAGTGAAGAATCATACTGAAGGTTCAAAAAATCCCTACCTTAAGAGTAGAAGAGGAAGAGAGCAAGGGTGAAATTTTGACGGAGTCGAAAACGAGATCCTCTCCGATTAGAATGAAGCTTTCGACGAGCTCTACCTTTTTCTCTAAAGACCAATGGTGCAGAAATCAATGGATGATGGAGTATTTGAGGTTTTAAGCAAGGGAGAGAGAGTGTGTGAGTGAAGAAATTAGGGTTTGAATGGTTTTAGAGAGAGAGGAAATGAAAAAGTGATTCAAAAAACTCCTTTTCCTGGACTGATATATGCGCAGATCGCTCAAGCGACCAAAACACCGCTCGAGCATGAGACACAATAAGTGAGACCGCTCGAGCAAACAATAACCCATTTCCAGAAGTTTTCAGACTGAAAAAGACTGCTTAAGCGCAAGAAATACCGCTCAAGCGAAAATACCCTACTCCCAGAACTTTTGCAGACCTGCAAAATACTAGTGTGGGCGCGCTCCCGGGAGAACTCTCCGAACATCCGTGCAGCGCCTGCGAGAGAGGGCGGGGGCGCAAATACTCGTTTTGTTCTCTGAGTTACCATAGTTTGGACTCAAATGTCACGATTCTGAATCTAATCTCACAATGTGCGATGTGAGACTGATAAATCACCAAAGAGTCCAAATCCGGCAAATCGCTTTGGAAAACTGATTTTTATAAAGAAGTGCCAAACATAGACTGCTTTGCCAGATACAGAGTTGCCACCTAAATATTTTATTTTGGAGAAATTTAGGAAACCCTGACTCGTGCCTAAGGCCACGTGTCCGTCATCACCAAAGTTACCTCGGCTCGGGAACTTGGATACGAGAAGGGAAGGTCATTTAATGAGCATCCCGCTCGCCCGATCAAAGATCGGCCTGTCCTAAGCATGATATTTTGTTTTTGAAAACACATGTGCTCTTATTCCGATTAATTAGCTAATCTTACTATGTGATGCGCACAGCAAACAAGTATAGACTAGATCGCCTAATTTGGAACAAAACATTGCATATTCGGTTGAAAACGGTTTGAAGTTTGCTACTCACAAGTAGGCTAAATCAATGATTTCAATGAATTGTTCCAATTCAAGTAATCCAATCTTCACCCATAGGCATTCAGGCAGTTATAACACATAAGCGGTTAGCATTATGGCAAGCATGCTTTCATGGTAACATTAACACACATGCAGTGTGCTAAAGCGAAAACACTCACAGTGTACTCCGAGCCAAAACAAAGAACTAGTTAGAAATCATGCATGATCCTAGTTTATGTTAAGATGGCTAATGCAACACATGCGAAAATGCAACTAAAATAGGCTCGGCTATTCTAGAATGGCATATGAAATGCAACTTGATACATGTATTCAACTAGGAATTGAAATACAATACAATTAGTATGATGCGCCGAGCCCGGTGCATGCAAGACAGATGAATGGATGCACTCATGCGAGCATAAGGTATGCCAAATGAAACATGCCCTAAAACTAACTATCATAAGTGGTTAACTAAAAGAGAGAAAGAAATGGAGGTTGGAAAACATGCATCACACACACGCACTCTTATTACAACAATTGGCCCTCTCGAAGGAGAGACCTAATAAGAAGCTAACTAACTAATCTAAGCTAATTAAACTAATTATTACACAACAAATTAATTAACTAATCCTAGTTAACTAATTATTACAAAACGAATTGAAATAGCTAAGCGCATTAACTATTATGGGTACAAACCAAAGCAAAAGCTAGCTATCTAAGCATGGCAGCTAAGGAAAGCATTAAATTAGGAGGTTCTCAGAGGGAGAACACTGGATGCATGCAAGCCCGATCGCCTCATTCGGAAATCTAATGTGAAGCCCCGATTTGCCTCTGTTTTCATTTGTTCTCAAAAACTTGCACCAAGCTCCAGAAAGCTGAAACTTCACCTTGGGAGTCCTGTGGGAGGGTGGCCGACCACTTTTGGTCTCTCCAGACACCTGCCGACCACTTTTGGTTGTTAAAAAACAAGAAAAGTGATCGGCCAGCTAGTTTTTCTTGCTGGCCGGTGTAGACACCCCATTTTTTACCGTCCTCAAGACTTGGACGTCACCATTGGAACACTTGGTGATTACCCTTGTTTGTGTTCGATTGGAGTTCCCGGAGGTCTCGGCTACGCGCCTTGCCTCAGGATCTCCGAACTCAATTGTTTAGTGTCTGGTTTCGCACCACACACTTGTGTTTTGCCTTGGAGGGGCAGGGAATGCCTTGTGAGGCATCCCCACACATCACCGGCCATGGCCAGAAGCCACCGGCTGGTGTTTTGTTGCCATCAGCAATATATATTGCCGGTCGGCAC